TCCAACAGGACTCCAAATAATGTGGACAGCTCTCTCCCTGGTCAAATGTGGTCCTGCTGTCCCGGCTTCTCAGTGTTATTCACTTCTACTGGACTGGCAGGAATTATTGTACAGATCCAATCAAAAGCCATTAAGTCTGTAAAGGTAGCCAAGCCCTTTTCTCCAGCTCTGCCTGAGATACCCAAGGGAGGTAAAGCATCTATTTCTCAATGCCTGAGGCCATGTTGTTTCCACCCTTAATTGCACTTATGTATTTGGTTTGGGGTACATATCTCCACTCCCCTTGCTCTTGCTTCCACTATTCCACTATTAATACAGAGTTTAGGAAACATGATTGTACAGGGTAGTAGACAGAGATTTTCATTAACTACACAGAATAAATCTGTTTAGAGAGACACTGCTTTCCTATTGATTCACTCGAAATGATTTAGAAGAAAAGGTTGTGCTTATTAAATTCTTTTCAAAAGGTAACTGTTAAAATTTAAATTTTTGCTCAACAGCTGTAATAGAAAGTGGTATATAATCTCTTCAGATTTTGTCATTTGTGAATTTTATGTTCTGCCCAGTTCCTCTGAAATATGTGACTGGGGGGGGGGGGCCTTTTTTAATTTACAAAAAAAAAAAAGGTAGAGAGATTTTCACATGGAGGTAGAGAACGTAATCAACGATTCTATCCGTGTGATTTGGAGCTGCCTAGCAATGCTGGGGGAATTAAAAAGGAGAAGCAATAACATAACGGAATGTGGTGGAATTACAAGAGGGTGCACTGTTCCGCTGGTTTGCAATACTCATCAAGAGGATTAAATGAGAATGGATGTAGGATTTTCTTAGCAGTGTGAACAAAAATGGCTGGTCATCTTTCACTCTTCTTTCACTGTTCTTTGTATCTTTCATTTAGGATATTTTGCCCAATGGGATTCTGCCGTGTTGAGCTCATTACTAGACCCAATCTAGGAGAAACATCTGAGGACGGAACACATGGCTTCAGTGATCCACGGGTCTGCTGGCCGTTTTTAGTTGGACTAACTGAGTGTAAGACACACAAGCTTTCACATTCTCCCACTGTTTTGTAGGCTACTGCTTATGTACATGTTGTTCCCTTCATTGCCCTCTCAAATTCTAAAGTCTTCCTCTAAGGTTTTCATGCCAAGTTGAGTCTGCTGGAGTCTCTGACTCAATCTCTCCCAATGAAAGGCCCATCTGCCTGTGTCTACCCTAGGTCCAAATATTTGGGGCACAAAGTCAAAAACTTCTATGACACTAAGATTCAATTTGTCCTCCTCTTTTCCCTTGATTATGCCAAATCCTCCTTTTGTATCTGCATCCTGGAATGTCTTTCTATTTATTATAAACTTTTGTCTAACAATGGCAGAAGCATGGCATGAATACAGATTGGCCTTTGTAGAGGTGTCAGAAATGGTCAGGAATGAAGCAAATCTAATGGGATATGTTTAGGATTATAACCCGGGCCAGTGAAACACTAAACAGGCTCA